CAAAATTTCATTTTTTCTTACCTTGTCTTTCATTTGTAACATGAGTACCAAATTGTCAATAGAACTTGTTTGTAACCTTGTAGCCAACACTCGGATACACTGTTTAATATTCGCTATTGATGCTAAGCCACACATTTCTTTGAATCTGGTCATTGTAGTTTGGACATTTTCTCTGAGGTCAGTTGCTTCCCTGAGTGGCTGAATCGCAACCTGGAAAAAATATTAACAGTGAAACATATCAATTGTTTCAGCACCATCATTTTCTTGCCACAATTTTAGAACAACCTTTTGCCTATTTTTGAGCATTCAAAATTGTTTTGGATCATTTTGGAATAATTTTTTCATGAGTTACAGGTATTGATTAAAATTTTGAAAAAACTGGGTCAAAAATGTAACATTTTATTTTGTGAATGGTGACAGAAAATTGACTTTGGCGCTCCAAGTGTTGAATGCAAGTAACACATGCAAATGATCCAGGCAATCAACAATGTCTTATATTATAAAGACATTGACAACTTAATCTGTAATCATTATTAATTCCCATCCAAAGCACTGTAAACTGACTCAATAAAAAATGTTTGACACTGTGATCACACATGTTAAATTACCTCACCTTGAAAGTCTCGTCAATACACTTCACGTTAACGACCCTAAGATTGGTATATTCTCGCTGTCTTCGTGATTTCTTCACTGACATACCCCGCTTGGTTGCTTTCTATGAAGTGAAAATTTGAAGATACCATCATGAAATACCATCAACAAAATCTGAGAGAAGTTCACTTGAGGTACATATATACCATGTATCAAAGTAAGCAAATCTGTCGCTTTCAAGAAGAAGTCAAATGTAAAGTTGAAACTGACGAATGATGACGAAGATTCAGTAATAACACCTGCTCTGCTCTGCTCTATTGACTTAGTTGATAGTGAAGCTAAATAACGACATTAGAAGCATTACTTCATGTGTCATAGTGGACCAAATGAAATATTAAATATGGACACTATAAACTTATGTACATCAAATCTTGTCTTACCCCTCCTCCTCTTCTGTTAGTAATAGCGATATGCACAAATAATGAAGCATTCCCAAGAATCTCCCCCGTATTCGAGAGAAGACGAATATGCCTGTAACCTGCGAAAAATATTACACTTAATCACAAAATTTTGTTAAATTATGCTGTAACTAAGGAGATTAATTTTGCAAATATGGTAATATTCAAATCACATGGTTTCTTTTAACCAATCATAAAGTCTTTAAAACGGAAGAAATTTGCATACACCACTTAAGTACATTTAACCAATCACATGGTAAATAAATGTAAATAATTTGCATAAATTACATCACATGATTACATTCAACCAATCACAATACCTACCTGGTTGTAAGCACTCAAATGGAATGGTATACTGTCCAATAAATTCATCTCCTATGTAATCATCATCTAAGACAACAAATCTCACTAAGGCTAACTCAGGTAAATTCACTGTAAACTCAAAACTTTCATCAAATAGTGGATTGTAACCTATAAAGCAAATGAGAAATGTGAAATGTACTACATCTGTGCAGTAGTATTGTCTATTTCTGCTCAAATACTCAATTACAAAAGTCAAACTATCGTAAGTATCTGTTGTCGATTTTGGAAATAGGCCACCCAACATCAAATTTATCAATTTTATCCAGAAGTCGTTAATATACAAAGTGTTTGTGGAATCCCATCTCACCATTATGTTGAACTGTCTTTGTTCTTTCTTCAGCACAGTCAGCTGGGATGCCAAATATTTCCATGGAAACATAAGGATCAATGACCTAAGAAGAAACCAAAATAAGGTAGAAGCCTGCTCATAATTTTGGTCATAAATTGTATGACAGTATTCATTGGTTTATTACGTCAAACCATGTAGTTATTGTCCCATGGCATAATGAAATAGCATTTATTTGTGTGTTAAAGTGATGTATTTTATTCAAGAAGAAATGCTTTCTGATAATGCATAGTCAGAAGATAGCGTATCATTTTCTTCAATGAGCTTACACATTTTAAAATTGATACCCACATGTGGAACTTTCAAGTTTATTATTCGTATAAAACCATGTGACTTACATCACCCTTAGCACCTGACCCCTTTGGTTTGGGAAACTGTTGGCCACTGATGATCTTCATATGCAGTATTTGTGTTGAGACGCCCGGAATCATTTCCTTTGTGTTTGCACTAAAATAAGCGATCTCTGGAAAAGATAAATAAATAAGTATTAAAAAATAACATGTAATAATGATGTACGTTTTTAAAGATGTGATGCTATTAAAATTTTTTTTTTTAAATACGTACCAGAAGACAATTCCAGTCAGTGCATAGATTTGCACATTACAGAACATTGTGACCGAAATCAGATTCATGAAAGCATTATGCATATGCCGTAGCAAAAAAAAAAAAACCTTTCAGATGTGACAATCTGTTTTAAATGGTAGAGATGTCTCTGCTAAATGATATATTGAATGATAGATGAAACCAAAAAAAAGTTTGAATTCCCAACAATATTTGTATATATCTGGAATTATTCAAGATGGCTACCATAGTGATTTATAATGTGGGAAATTACTAAATTGTTGATTTCATGGAAATGAAAAATCATGATTATCATTTCAATCAAATGTTGCCACATTTTAATTTCAGAATAGAAATCTTTTTTTAGTGGTCTTAGTGAAGACAGTGATCACAATTTAATTCCTAAGTCTAAGATTATTAATTTGATTAATTTTTGAACACTGTTTAGATCATTGTTGGATAGCCAAGCCTCGTCACAATAAACTGAAATTATTATTTCTGTATGTTTTTGTTTTGCTCAATTAGGTACATTTTAGTGATTGTTCACGCCTATGTTACTGCATAGTTTTGTTTGTTAAGTAAAGAATAATAAACAAATTTTCCTACCTTCTCTCATCACAGCAGGCTTCAGTACGTAACCACAGCAACCATTTTGTTGAAACCTTCCTTCGTAAAGGTCCATCATTAGTCCCGGCGTCTGGTAATTCAACGCAACTACAAAATGTAAATGAAAAATAATTTGAACACATCAACCATCTACAGTAATCAAATGAAACAAAATTCTAAAAATAACATAAATGAGGAAAAAAACAAATTTCACAAATATGTCACTAGAGGGCGCTTTTTTATTTGTATATAATCATGATTGTAATTAAAGTTGTCGTTTAAATAACCCAGTCAACTGGCAATGATTACAACCATGTTCTGGACTGTGATTGACAAGTGGAATTAAATATTTTTTTCACGACTTTCCAAAGCGTTCATATCGATATATGTGATGAGACCTTTAACAAAAATATTTTTCAAGCAATTTTTTTTCTATATTGTACAAACAAGTTTCGTCAGTTAATGGTCGATCTACAATTGCTTATGCATTGTGGGTAGAGTCTAGAAATAAAATTAATTATATTCAAGATTATGCAAATCAGTAAACACTGCACTCATGATATATAATCAGAGCAATGGAAGAAGAAATAAGGTTTGTGCTCACCAATCTGACATCCACAATTCCAAAGATCCTGTGGATTATAATTACTTGAATCAACTCGTATAGTGTTTGGATGTATCCGAGTTAGAAACCTTTTTGTATGGTTTACAAAATCTTCTGGGCATATGTTGGCGAATTTATTAGCGACGCCTTCACTTAAGGAACACATCTCCCAGTACTTTTCTGTGAAATAACAAGACAATACAAATATGAGAAGAAGAGTAGAGTGGATTGAGGGATTGGGGAAGGGCTGAATGAGCTGGTCTGGTCACCATGGGATTGTGTGGATTAGGGGAGAGGGGGTGGATGTTTTGGTCACTAATATATAACGATATAATATTGATAATGGGTAAGTTTTTTTTTATTTTAATTTTAAAATCATCACAAAAATTGTGCTTTTATTTTGATTTTTTCATAAAAAATTAAATTTTTAACTGATGTGTGAGTTGTGCAGAAACATGAATAAGTTTTCTGATGCCGCTGTAGACAAGTTTAGTTATGTCGTTACCTTAAAAACTTGTGTGCTCTGATGTAAAAATGCTCTAATTTTGTCTGTATTTTGTGTGTGTGTGTGTGTGTGGGGGTGGGGGGGGTGGGGGGGGGTGGGGTGATTTTGCCATGTAAACGTTATATCTCAGAGTTCCAGGAAACCAAGAGAACCAGCAAATTAATGTGCAAGTTAGAAATCCACCCCGCCATTCTCGCACAGAAAAACGACTGGTGACGATGTAACTAAAAACTATTATTGTATATACTCACGATTTTGTGCAGATTCGTGAAAATCTTCAAACCGAACCGATTTACATATTGTGATGAGATCTGAAAGTTCTTTGATCAGTGTGATCTTCTTGAAACCATCCTGACAATGAGATAAAGTTTGTATTAAAAAATAAACACACTATAATTCAAATAGCGCCCTCTATGTTCACATTTGTCATACTCACTCTTTTTATCTTTTTCCTGTCATTGTCTGTGCATTCATCTTCATCCGTCACTTCTCCTTCATCATCTTGACATTCCTTCCGAAGTTTTTTTCCCTGAAAAAAAAAAAAGATCATGAATATAACAATAATAATGAAAGCATTTTCATAATTATTATCAATGAACAAAATCTGACATGAAATCATTTGCACAATACATGACATACTATGGTCACATTATTTATTTTGACCAATCATGGCTATTTAGATTTTCCAGCTGAGAAGAGAAAAAATATTTGCATGATTTGATGATGACATCACTATGACTTCATGTCTTCAGGACCTGAAATAAATTGTCCCTGTTAAAACAATTTTGCAACTGTTACAGAATGTGGAATGTCTGCCATGTCTACAGCAACACTCGTTCAGTGTTGATAAAATATTCGTGACTGCTGGGCCAAACGTCTAAAAAATTTGTAACCGATTCATCTCACTTACCTTCAGAATTATTTTGCCTTTAAGTTCTTCTGGCGAAGGTAGAAAATGTTTGTCTTCCTTTGGTGGATCACGATAAAGTTTGTCTGTAAACGCAGCAAAGTGAATATTGTGAGTCATATACGGTGATGTAATATTATATCACAGTACCCTTATACTGTAAAACCATTTATTTTCACTGACCTTTAATTTCATTATTTTAATGTTTTGAGCATATTCATGTGAGTTTTATTGTTATTTTACATGTTTACGTAGATTTAATGTAGCAGATTTTACTTATAAGCAAAAATAGCAAAATAAAAACTCGATGAATAATTAATGCATTTACAGTACTTGTCTTCATAACCAAAACAACAGAAAATGAAAATAGATAATTATTACACGATATTGATGGTTACCAATGAAACCAGTTTAGATTTTTATTTTTAAATAATCAACTTAAATCCAGTTTGATGCAGATGCTGACAGCTACATCTGAATGGGACTCACAATTTGTGAAACATTGAAGGCAATTACCACTTTGTGGTCTGCAGACAACTTGCCTCTTTCAATGCATACAGGATAGGAACAGTGTTAAAAGTACTGACAGGGGGGGGGGGGGTCTCCTAAAACTTGCAATGCATGGAGCTCTGGGCAAATAACAAGAAACCAACCCACAGCCTCCATGATGAAAGAAATTAACCACACAATTAATAGTAAGAAATCCAGTACTTAAAGAAAAAAAATCCACATTAAATACAAGACTATTCACATTGCAGTCACTAATGTTCAGAGTAATACTTACCACGAGTTAAAATTGCACACTAAGGAGATTGTAATCAATTTATCTTGGCTATATAAAGTACGTCATTGTGACTATATAAGAGTACATAGTACAAGTCTGCCCATCAGTCTCTGGCATAACTGTTATTAGCAAATACTCTTAAATTATGAGTGATTGGCAAATAAATTTAGCCCAGTTTTTAATCATGAATTATTTGGCAGTGAACAAGTAAAGACGGCTAGATGATATAAACATGGTGTTCATTTCAACAATATTGAGTAACTGTGAAATACTTTATTAAGGACTGATATCTGTTATTTTCATGCAAAAAAAAATAATTATGCAATACATTCAAAAAATATACACGAGAAGATTGAATAGCAGCATGTACTACTTTCAAAAATATTCAAAATTATTTATGATAACTATGCGTGTAAAGTTGCATATTGTGACTAGCAAGGTATTAAAACAGTTGATAGATAGAGACTGACTACTTTCGCTGACATTTGTCGAATCACAAACATATGACTAAATAGAGCCAGAACATTTTAACGCATATGTATAATGGTCTTCACATAATACCCTCTCACAAGTGTGTTTTAGTGATCGGCTGCAGAGCGACGTATTATTCAGAACACACAACATTCATACATAATGTATGAGAGAGAAACATATCCATAGCATGTACCGTAAAATGAATTGACACAATAAACATATAATAATAACATCCATGTAATGTATGCATGCACAAAAACAGTACAGCTGGAGGTTGATGCGCAGCGTACTGTCTGAGTGCATACTTTGAGGTAATAACTTTATTATTATACATCTTTTTCTTCCAAAGATACATCATGGGAATGCCAAAATTCAAAAAGTTTAGAACAGAACCAGCAAACTTCTTCATGTGGAGTCTGTTCAAACCCTGATGGCAGCCATGTTTGTTTTTATTATTAGAGGACGCTTACGTAACTTGGTATCAAAGACAACAAAAACATGATATTGCAGTAAGTATAGAATGTAATGTTACTTATAATTGAATGATTGCTGAACACATTACCTCCGAATGTTGATGTGAGACATTTCACCATGTACCTTTGCTGATCTGGACAGCAGTGATTTTCAATATTAACTATTACTGGATATCTGGAAATAAATGAAAACACAAGTATGGATAGTAACACTCAACACAATAGAACAATCGATACTGTAACACTCAACCAAGTACAACAATGGATATTCTGACACTCAATATAGTACAACAATGGACAGTAATAAGGAATACTATAACACTCAACACAATAGAACATTGAATACTGCAACAATGGAACTCAACACAGTACAACAATGGATAGGAAGGATGGATACTGTAACACTCAACACATTACAACAATGAATACAGTAACACTCAACACAGTAAAACTATGGATAGTAACAATGGATACTGTAATACTCAACACAATACAACAATGGATAGTAACAATGGATACTGTAACACTCAACACAGTACAACAATGGATAGTAACAATGAATACTGTAACACTCAACACTCAACACTATGGATACTGTAACACCCAACACAGTACAACAATGGATACTGTAACACTCAACACAGCACAACAATAAAAACTGTAACAATCAATACAGTACAACAATGAAAACTGTAACACTCAACACAGTACAACAATGGATACTGTAATACTCAAAATGGTACAACAATAGTTACTGTAACACTCAACACAGCACAACCATAAAAACTGTAATACAGTACAACAATGAAAACTGTAACAATAGAATATAACAATGGATACTGTAACACTCAACATAGTACAATGGATACTGTAACACTCAACATAGTACAACAATGGATACTGTAACACTCAACATAGTACAACAATGGATACTGTAACACTCGACACAGTACAACAATGGATACTGTAACACTCAACACAGTACAACAATGAATAGTAAAAATGAATACTGTAACACTCAACATAGTACAACAATGGATACTTACTGTGATACTGTAAACGCATGTTCATTGATGGCCTCTATTGCTGACTTGAATGATATCTTGCTTGTCAAGGTATGCCCATGGTAAATAATAGCTTCGTCTGAAGGACCATCCCAACAATCGACTAGACAGGAAAGAGAAAAAAAGTACTTAAAAAAGTCAAGATACTATTACAAATATTACTGATGAAGAAAAGTGAAATGTTCAATAATAACAATTTTATAAAATATTAACTTTATCATTGATGTAAAGAAATTACTATAATTTTAATTTAATTTATTTTATTTGAAATTTTTGTAAGCATATGCATATAAAATTGCATATATTTTCAATGGACAGGTTTTAATATACAAACTGGACAATGCAGTTCAAACAGTAGACATTATGCGTATAAAGTCCATCCTAGTATATTTCTTGTAAGCCAATGGATTTCGTTGTGTGCCCCCCTGTTTTGCCAAAGTAATAAACTTTATTTTTCATGTACCTATCTGTGTTGTGTCATAAATACAATTACTGTAGAATACTTTATTTTCGCTTGGAATTAATTTTCGCTATTTTCACTGAAGGAATGGATCAGTGAAAATAAAATCCAGCGAATATACCTTTTTTCTTATATTTCACATTCAACTCATCAAAAATCAGTGAAAATAAATTCCATACAAAACACCAAAAAGCCTTTTCAGCGAAAATTAGTTCTAGCTAAAATAAAGTATTTTACAACTATATAAAATTCCACTGAAACTTGAATACCTGAGACGACGTAGAATAGGGGAAAGTATGATACTTGAATACCTGAGACGACGTAGAATAGGGGAAAGTATGATACTTGAATACCTGAGACGACGTAGAATAGGGGAAAGTATGATACTTGAATACCTGAGACGACGTAGAATAGGGGAAAGTATGATCAAACCATAATAGACAACTGTACTCACACAAATGCAGTGTTTAAGCCATACATTACACAAATAACGAGCACTCATAGAAAACAAACGGTAAAAATGAAAATGAGGAAAATTCAATCTTTACGTCTAAGCATGCATGTCTAATAAGTAAATACTCACGTTCAACACTTCTGCATCCCCTTTGCAGCGCTCGGATGTAACCCTCCGCACTAGACGGACCTTTCAATTGATCTTCAATTAAATACCTGAGTTTATACAAATAACTTACATTTGACAATCATATGAAAGTCTCGAATTATAATGTATACTTATAACAACAATAATTATTTTCCCTCTTATACCCTACATACAGACTACAGGCAAAAGTACAAATACATGCATAAACATTGAAAGACCAACTTTCTTTTCATTGTAACAGATAGAGAGGATTCACAATGCTATAACTAGTTGTGGGCAATTGAAATGTCAGTAACTAAATTAAAAATAATAAAAAATTTTTAAAAACAAGCAGCCAGTCGGCTGAGATAGCTCCGCTGTTAGCAATGCACATTTCAATTAAAGAACAGAGGATTTCATTAGAAAATGAACAATATGCATAAGTATCAATGCAATGGGACTTGCTGTTGTCAACAAGAATTCAAAAATATCACTTTTCACCAAAAATGACAAAAATATTCACCAAAATTAGAGAATTGAAGATATCATCACCAAATGAACAAATCTGAGAGAGGTCCACATGTAGTACCTATATATGTAATATCAAAGCAATTAGACTTGCGGTTTTTAATAAGAAGTTGAAAATATCACTTTTTACCAAAAATGACAAAAATATTCACCAAAATTAGAGAATTAAAGATATCATTACAAATTGAACGAATCTGAGAGAGGTCCACATGTAGTACCTATATATGTAATATCAAAGCAATTGGACTTACGGTTTTTAACAAGAAGTTGAAAATATCACTTTTTACCAAAAATGACAAAAATATTCACCAAAATTAGAGAATTGAAGATATGATCATGAAATAAACAAATCTGAGAGAGGTCTACCCAAGATACATATACACCAAGTATCAAAGCATTCAGGCTTGTAGTTTTCAAGAAGAAGTCGAAAAAGTAAAACATTGACACGGACGACGACGGATGACGAACGACGACGGGCAATCACTCATATGATGAGCTTCGCTCTACAAAGTCAACAGCGGAGTTAACAAAAGAGAACAGAATAAAGTAATAAAGAAAAGAAAACTATCTTTATTAACAAACTAAATTTCCCACAGAATATTATCCTGTTAATGATCTGTGCCCCTAAAAATTTCACATATCTGGATAGTAAGATTTATAACCGTGCCTAATCAAGAACTGAATCTCAAACATGAGTGAGTGAAAACTGCCATAACTGCGACGCCAATATAATACAAAATGTACAATGATACAGATACTTACGTATTGTGGGCGGATGCAATAAAGTAGTGTGATAGAGACTGTGTCATGTCTTGACATACTGTTCTATGACTGTGATCAAAGATATCACACTCGATAGACATTAAATATTGTGTAAATCCTGGAAGAAACAAAAAAAAAAGATACTAATAATCAAAACACTATTCCTGAAAAATAAAATTATTATCCACTGCTTAATGATGTGTTTTTTGAAAAATGGAATAAAAGGTTTCAAGAACATGAAATCACTTTGGAACTATTTCAATACTGAAACTTTTTTTTTTTCAAAACTGTGTTTATGTTGTATAATATAACATGGTTCATGGTCCATATTTCAATAATGTACCTTTCTTCAAATTGTAACTCTAATCTCCATGGATATTTACCCCAGATTAAGCAAGTCAATATCAATGTCATAGTCCCTGTTTGTATTTATTCGCATACATTTGATTTGAAGATACACAAGCAATGCACATTTCAATTAAAGAATTGAAGATATCATCACGAAATGAACGAATCTGCGACTGGTCTACCTGTAGGAAAAATTAAGTAAGTTCCAGTAATATTGCCTCCCAAATTGATGCGTGTTGTTTTAATTTTATTTTAAAATTCTCACTAAATTTGTGCTTTAATTTGATTTTGATTTTAAATTCTGATAAAAGACCTATTTTTTGACCATAGAAATGAATGTACTTACCATCTATTCCTAAATGACCTTTGACCTTTCCTTCTTCTGAAGGTTCAAATCTGTTGATAAGTTCAAGACACTTATCTTTTGTAACGCCCGTCATCTGTAAACAAAACATAACAATGTGAACTACCTTTCACCATGCTCCTACTGAATGCAACGAACCACTGTGTGTGACAGTTATCAATCCAGATCCAACCTCCTTACACACAGAGATACCAAAGACAAAACCAATAAACCCACCTCAATCACAACACAGACATGTCAAAATCAATCACATAGAACTGTCAGTTTATACAATGTATATTTCATAAATTGTCTGCATCCAGTCGGAATTCAGGTAAAAGTATAAGTAAAGAACGAAGACGCTGTATTTGCTCATTACAGGCACATCTTCAATAGCAATGTACATTGCATTTGTTATACATGTATGCTGGATCATTTAAATATTTAGGTCATACGAACAATTTACAAGGCTATATAGAGCAAATATGCTAATCTGAAGATAAATTATTCTGACATGACCTAAAAACAAGAAATCAGTTTTGGGGATTTACATTTAAAACCTAAATCCAGCTTTGCCCTGTAGACATTATCCACAAAGATCAGAAAGAGTGGGAGATAACAGAATGAAAAAAAAAAGACCAAAATGAAGTTTGAAGTGCATTATTAATGTTTCATTTGCAGGGAGTTCACCATCATGAATAAATAATACTTCCCAGCAGGCATTGCAGGTGTTTTTATCTTAGGACCATACAATGTGCTGACGGCTTGGCTTCATACATGAAACATAATGTACTATATATGGTTGTCCAGGTTGTAACGGTGGATTTCCTGTCTGAAGTTTATTTTGCTCATACCTGGATTTTAACGCTTCTGTGCACACGCTAATAAGAATTTTTACTGACTGGGTATAAAAGGATGAACTTTAGAAAAGACACGTACAACTTTTTATGATTTGGTACAACAAGTTGTGTCAGAAAATCTGTTGTAAGCCATTGATCAAATGCTAGCATTTGGTTAGATACAGATACAATAGACCACTCACAGTGGTTATATTGTTAAGAGTTTTTATATACTCTATTTTATGTTATTTGAGACAGCTTTTTTGTGTTCAGTTAATTGTGATCAGAATATCATCTTTTATATGAATAAAATACTATGCAAATGAATATTTAAATATGCAAATAAATTTAATAAATATGCTCATTTGTATCTCCATTATTCTTATACTTATTTTTAGAATTAAACAGTCAGAACTTGAGAACTTTTATGGGTGTCAGCTTGAATATTTATAAAAATAATAAATTTAGGACTAAATTGATATTACATGTATAATGCAAATTTCCCGACCACAAACTGTGAGATTTCATTGGTCTATTTTAATTATCAGGTTGCTATGAATTATGAATACTGATTTAACCTTACTCGCACATGCAGAGTAAATATGGTAATTTATTATCAGGATTACTTACCCCTTGTTCTGCTTCCAGAAAAATCAACAGATCATCAGTCGTTAAAAACTCACAGCTTGCATACCTGAAACATATATATATATATATATATATACTCTTTCAATTGATTTGTTTCATAATGTCTGTGTACTTTGGTGGTAGTTGTTGAGTTAGGTTCATGAACTTGCATTGTCTCTATTAAAGTGAATTTTGTATTAAGATGATCTACAGTGGGTTAGGTTATACCCACTTAATTGTATAACGAGCAAAATACTGTTATTGTTAAAATAATTCCAGTAATAAATATCCACTGCATACTTTTTGAGCATGCATTATCATTAAATTTTGTTTCATTATTTCATAACCCAAATTTCTAGTGCCACAGGAAATAATTTGCCTAATGGATCTTGCTTGTAGAAAAATAATGGCTACTCTAATATATGTACGTGTGTGAAGAAATCTTTAACTTTTTTATCCAGAGAATTGTCTGATACATATGCTTTCTGATTTACACATATTCCATTTTTGATTACCGTATTTAAACATAAACTCAACCTTACCTAACCAGTAAAAAGTAAATTTCGGGTCTTGTTGAAATTTCCTTGAAAAATTCTAAAAAATCTTGAAAAGCCAGGGCAGGTCTACTGCTACCATCTTTACACTTGTTTAAGGTGATTTCCTGAATAAAATGTGAAAAAATTATGTATTCATCCAATTTTATTCATGAGATTGGAAAAACAATGTTAGAAAAATTAGAATTATATTAACTATATGATTGTAGAGGAAAAGAAAAAAAAATTACATAAATTTGTATACAAGACTTACTTTAAATTTTTGTTTTATTTTACAAGTTGTGACTCCTTGATTTATTTTTTTCATAAGCTGGATAACTTCAAACTCGTCTAGTCGACCACTTCTCTCGTTGTCAGCCCCGGAAAACATCTGCTTTAACCACGTGGAACAAAAAGTTAAGGACAGATAAGACAGAACGTTTCAAAAAAACATTGTACATTGTACTTTACAAAAACTTGATAGTTGCATATTCTTATTAAAGATTCTTAAAGCGAGAGGGTCGTCACCTGCACACACGCTAGAATTGAGTCCCAAGTGACGATAACAACACACATTAAAAATGCAAACGCTCATGGGTAGATGCTTGTTTGTAAACAATGACACGCTATGGCCATCTGACGCATACTCAGGTGATGACTCCCCTGCTTAAGTGTTTATGCATGCTCTAACAGTAGAAAAAGAAATCTAACATACAGAGAAAAGAAACAACCATTTTATCACGAGAATTTCCGATTGTCGTGTTGCATTAGAAGTGTAACTAGTACCGTAATCATGCTGTCTGGAGCTGAAATGTCCCGATTAATTATACTGCATATTTCAAGTTTGTCATAACATAATAAACTTTCACTCAGTATCACTTATAGATGGTTGATTCTATGACCTAAAATATATTCTAATTCATGTACCTTGGTCATGTCTTATTTCTGTGGATTAATTTTATCCCTCGGTCCAAAAATTTTACTGAAATAATTTACGAATTATAAAATTTGATTTAAAATTCAAAACAGCAAGCTAAGGGGGTAAAATATTTGAAATAATGGGGATGGCTGCAAGTGTGTCACCAGTGCAATTTACTTACACTGTTTGTTCATTTTTTTTTTTTTGAATGTGTCAACATTTGTTTCTTCGCAACACCTTGCATGCAATTTATTGTTTATCTGTGTCTAGCTTGCAAATTATTATTTTTTTAAATCACCCCCCCTCCAATGATTTCAAACGGTCACACCTAATTCAAAGAAAATATTGATAAAGGTGGAAAAAAATCTCATAACCTGGCCTATCATGTTTTTGGAAGAGAATGTTATTGGAATGACACAATTTTATTGTTGTTTGCTCTATATGTGAGCAAAGACTTTTCACTAGGGTCTATGCTGCAAATAAAACAGGTCTGCATTGTGTAAATACACATGTAAGCATGAACTGCAGGCAACAAACCTAATATCCCCTGATGGACACAAATTCACTTTGATTTAAAACCATTTGGATCAGACAAATTACTCGATAATTACATTTCACTAAGTTGGTTTTGTCTTACACGCACGTAAATAAACTTTAACTAATTGAGATCTGTATGAGGTTACACGACTACTGGCGAGTGAACAGTGCATGAACTGTCCTACAACTGACCTACTTTGCAGTGTACTTTTATTCTGTTATCATATATGCATTGCAGAAACCTTATAGTCTAGTGCCATTTTCGAAAACAGTCCCTGCCTAAGAAGAAAGGGTCATTTTGGGGTAAAAGTTGGGAACCATACTTTTTAGCATAATTTTGGCATGCTGAATCTGATAAACCTGGTTCCCAAACGATATTTTGAAGATTTATTAGTCTAATTTGCATAAACAAAATGACTATTTTGGCATAACTCAGTTGGGAACATAACATGTTGATGTAATTCCATAAGAAATGTCTTAATAATGTTCCCCGACCCTGAAAACATGAGTAGAAATGTTTCATTTCCCATATTCACTTGTCTTGTTACAAAGATATTGCAGAGAGGAGGAAATTTGGTGGCCATTTTGTTTATGCAAATTAGTCTATTACATATTCTTATATCGCTTCGGAACCTTGTTTATTGGATTCAACATACCCAAAATATGGTAAAAAGTTTGGTTCCCAACTTTTACCCCAAATTATGGAAATGGTACTATCATATATTGAACACTGCCCTCTAGTGGCATAGTGGTGAAATGGCACAAATTTGGATTATTGAATTCAAGTCTAAAAACTGCCGACAAGACTCATAGCTGCTGGAAAATCTAGAAAATATGGAAAAGGATATCTGTCTCTCATGTCAAGTTCATGTGATGTTTCCATGGAATCTGGAGCTGTAATAAAAACAAAATATATCAGTCAGAACATGTACTTCTATAGTTAATTTTAATCTACATGTATTATTATAAATCTCAAACATAATCACACTTGAAATACAGAACAAATACTGAAAAAATTATCTCAGGATCCTGCATTATATGTTGTAGCTTTGCTACATGAAAACTCAAGTTTCTTTTTTATTCAACATAACTTTTCCTGCTCATATTTTAGTGGAAAAACACCTTCTAATTTTTTAGGCCAGAATGCCATATATATGTGATTTAAAAAAAAAAATTATGAAGTTGATATTGAAAGGATTTAGTACAAAGTGTAGTAGATGAAATATGACTGTATTAAAGTAATTGTTTTCATGTAACTATGCATGCTTCTTCATTGTCAAGGTAACCGAGCGTACTTCTTGGGAAGCATTGCCAAGGTAACTATGCATGATTATTTGGATGCATTGTCCAGGTAATTGTGCATGTTTTCAGAATGCATCATCCAGGTAACTATGCATGTTTTTTGGGAAGCATTGCCCAGGTAACTATGCATGCTTCATGAAAAGCACTGCCCAGGTATTAAACTATGCATGCTTATTTGGATGCATTGTTCAGGTAACTATGCATGTTTCCTGGGATGCATCATTCAGGTAACTACGGTATGCATGTTTTTTGGGAAGCATTGCCCAGGTATTAAACTATGCATGCTTATTTGGATGCATTGTCCAGGTAACTACATTTATGTATGCATGTTTCCTGGGATGCATCATTCAGGTAACAATGCATGTTTTTTTGGGAAGCATTGCCCAGGTATTAAACTATGCATGCTTATTTGGATGCATTGCCCAGGTAACTATGCATGCTTATTTGGATGCATTGTCCAGGTAAATATGCATGTTTCCAAGAATGCATCATTCAGGTAACAATGCATGTTTTTGGAAAGCATTGCCCAGGTAACTATGCATGTTTCCTGGGATGCATCAATCTGGTAACAATTAATGCATGTTCCTTTGGAAGCATTGCCCAGGTAACTATGCATGCTTCTTGGGATGAATCATCCAGGTAACTATGGTTGTTTGAACATCTGTATTAAACTATGCATGCTTATCTGGAGGCATTGTCCAGGTAATTATGGATACTTCTTGGAATGCATCATCCAGGTAACTATGCACACTTCTTGGGAAGCATTGACCAGGTAACTATGTATGCTTATTTGAATGCATGATTCATTGATTCAAACCAATAATCAAGATTATCTGATAGATCTCTAGATAACTAACACAAAATGAACAAACTCTAAAATCAAAGACAATAAACCATGCAATTCAGTCACTCCAATCACATTGATATAGAACCTAAACGCCCTCAGGTGGTCAGCCAGGGACATGTTGTCATATCTCCCACATTAAAAATGATGACCAAGCTAATCAATAACAAGACAATTATTCCATATGCTTCACTGATTATAACTCAGGTAGTATCAATATATTATGAAATACTAAGTATAACAAAATAACTGGATAATACTATGCATGTGCAATTATGAATTCCAAAAGATACAAGACGATGATAAGACTTATTGATCCACCAACAGCTGCTACGAATTGCCAATTTTCATTTCAATTCAAGCAACTAATACATGAATTTCTGTTTTAAAAAATTCTGTGCACATTAGAATATATATTAATCAATACCCACTTGTTCATACCGAGTCAATACATTCTAATATTCAGAAACTGGTGAGGAATATTATTAACAGATTACTTTAATTAGCGAGTTAGATGCGTCACAGGAAAATATCACGCTTCTCATGCCATATTTAGTAAACCATGATAATTTTCATACAGCTGTGATGACCGTTCAAATCATTCGTTTAAAACTATTAATTTCGAGTTTGTTCTTTTCATGTATACATATATTAAATTAATGTTGCATGCTGGGATATTGAAAGGTTATTGACAAAATACCAACACTGAAAGTCAAGTACAGTGAAAGTATTGTCTCAAAGTATTGTCTCATATGTATAGTATCAATGCAAAAGTGTGCAATGTACGAGGACGTAAATTACAGTATTTTGTTAATAAACTTATCTGTGTTAACAGACAATGTCAAGAATAGTTCAGTTTTTGTCTTCCACATCTGTATAATCAAATCCGCTACAGTGACACCAAATCTGAGAGTTCATTTTATACTTGAGTAAAGACTGTTACATGTGTACTTTCATATAAGCTGGAAAGATCGTCTTGCACATGTATGTGTGCAGTCACCTTTAACAAATATCTTTATTATTGATGCAGTAGCGACTGTGAGAAGCAGTCAACTTTAAAGATTGATCAGCAGCCAGATTTCAAATTTTGCTGCCTTGACAGAACTCATAGCTGCTTAAATTTCATGACAACATCAGTCAGGAAATTTAAGAGTTTGGATCATCATGTAAAATATTTTGATTATGAAAATATATTTTCGCATGAAAGAGCATTGTTGTGTTTAGGTCGATCTTCTGATGAGATGTAAACTAATAGTGTTGTAAATTTGCATAATTATTAATGTATTCTAAAGCTCAATAATTTACTGCAGTAGATGTAATGTACATTATACCAGTATGTCATTGTAATAAAAATGTCAAACCAAAGTTCTTTTTCAGGGTTTGAACAAATTTGCTAACGTTACACGTTTTGTATTTGAACATCTGTATATCATCTTTTATTCTAGTTGGAAATTTCATAATATACTGTAGAATACTTTATTTTTGCTTGGAATTTATTTTCGCTATTTTCGCTGAAGGGATGTTTTCGTGAAAATAAAATCCAGCGAATATACTTTTTTTCCTATATTTCACATTAAACTCATCAGAAATCAGTGAAAATAAATTCCATACAAAACGCCTAAAAAGCCTTTTCAGCGAAAATTAATTCCAGCGAAAATAAAGTATTCCACAGTATATAAATCTATCAGGTAGATTCTATCAATAAATTTGATTAAGTTGACAGACCTGCTTGAAAGCTTAGAAACAAATTAAACTAATCAGAAAACTGTTTCAAGGGTAAATGGAATGGGGTAATCATGTATAAATTAAATGAACTATAGCCAAGAAATGAATATGAGAGAAAGTGAATAAGAAATGAATTTGTAAAACATGATTACACTGTTTGGAGAGATCACATGCACACTGTGGTAGATAGAAATAATACATACCTTTATTTCCGAGGTTACCCCCAATAAGGCAGGTTAATCCGGTAACCCATATATTTGCTTCATCCGGTGTATTTGCTACCAAATCTAAACTATCATAGTTATCACCGTAAATAATAGAGAAGGCACAGTCTTCAGAAAAGTCTCCGGCTATCTCTCGGTTTCTCAATGTCTCTGTGTTTTTGCCAACCCTCACTTCTTTGATTTGGTCAATGGAAACTGATGAGAACAAAATCATGGAATGACAACAGTTGTAAATAACAAATTCAAATATAATCAACTCCAAATTTTATAATTATATCAATCCGTCCTTTAAACTGTAGTTTTTTTCAACAATTTGCAAATAACATCTGGGATTAATATCCTTATTATCAAGCATTAATCATAGTATTCACCAAATGTTGACAGTTTTATGAAAACCAGTGTTTGCACATTTGAGTTAACAATTCCTTTATTCTTTGTGTGAGTCCAAATTAAATAATTAAAATGTAATTAATCATAAACCCTAATGAAACTGTCATTAATTACAGACAGGATTTGGATTATATAATCATCATATGTTGCAACAACACCACACCCCCCCCTCCCACAAAAAGTCGATCAGGTTTAAAACATACATAATGGTTGATGACAGGATGCAGATTTAGTCTGTTACATTTATAAAAAGAACGTAATGTCCAAGTACAACAAGAGCTGGATTTTAGCTAGCAAAGCACGAGTTCCTTATATTTGAAATATACAGAGTAATCAGCCCTTGCTGTGAGGTACTTATTTTAGCTGGATTAATTTTTTGCTGAAAAGACATTTTGAGTGTTTTGTATGGAATTTATTTTCACTGATTTTTGATGAGTTTAATGTAAAACATTGGAAAAAAGCTATATTCGCTAGATTTTATTTTCACTGAATCTTCCCATCAGCAAAAATAAATTACAAGTGAAAATCATAAATATTTAACAGTATATGTCTAATATTAGTGACAAAAGTAAACACTACAAAAAATAAGCTGAAATTATAGATGACACTCACTATAAAATTGTAAATTTTTATGAAAAGGCAAAGCCAGTTGATAGCCAGCTTGCGTGGCTATCAAATCAGTAATCCCCAACTTTCAACTTTGAATAATTTGACGTACATCGCATGTAGTAGCCTCGATTTACAAATTTTATCTTTAACATTAGTGTGAGCTTTTTATTGAAAAATTTGGGAGCAAATTAACAATAGTATTAGTTCAGTACAATAATGAAAAAAACTTTATAACAGATTTTTTTTTCGATACTGACACCATTGACTAAGTTTAGAAAAATTAAGCTGATCTGTGTATCCATACAGCACAGATTATTGATATATGATTTATAAAAAAAAACCCACTGAATAGAGTGAAGAATTAGTTTTCCAGTATTACGCTGTTGCTGTGGAGAGAAAAGTATTGAATGTCACGAAAAATAATACCCTACATCTTGTATTGTAAGCTGACGATTGATTTCGCATTTGTGAAATACGCGACATTGATTGATTTCTTCACAAATACAAACTGAATGGCTCTGTAATTAGAACTTATTATGCATAGATCGATGGGAATACTGTTACAGTCTACAATATGAATGAAGTCTCATATCGAATAGAAACATTCTGTTTGTTTTTTTGTATGTACGTAACAGACGAGTTATCGTGATGAATATCAGTAACCAGTTAATATTAGGTGAAATAATTGATTTCATTTCACTCGTATATGGCTATGATTGATCATTTCTGTTACAAAAGTATTAAAAAATGCTTTTTTTTCAACAATTTGTTTATAACAAAGCAGCATTGAGGTGAAAATTCGAGTACAAATAGAACACAGTGATATCGGCGATATAATCTATAAATACAAAACCTAGATTTTAGTAATATTTTCAGTAATAATATTCTTAGCTATTTAGAGGGAAATTTAGTTTAAATTTATAATAATTTGTTTGTATAATAATTTGTTATCAGCTGAATCTAAACGTATGCAGGCTAAATAAATGCATATATTAATATCTTAATTATGACTTAGTCCCTATCTGTCATTTACATAAAAGCATATGTTACATATGTTACATATACCTGTAGAGGGTAAATACAGTATAAGCAACTGATATACTCTAATGCTGTGTTTTTTTCAAACATAGTATGCACTGAACATTTTAAACTACAACATATAATATCCCAGGTAATTCAAAAAAAAGTTTCTAAGAGATTCTGATTCTACTTCATGTAGGCTTTGATGAAATCAGAACAGACTTACTTTTTGCTTTTATTGGTTTCTTTGATGTTGGATGCCATCTCAAAACAGACAGGTCATCATCAATTGTAAATATACGATGATACTGTCGGGACTGTGAACGTACTTTTATCAACTCGCTGCCTGCTTGCATGAATGTGATACAGTCTGAAGCTGTGGACAAAAACAAAACAAAAAAAACATTTTTTATTTATTGTTGTTGTTCAATCTTTAGTTTCATATATTTAAAAAAAAAACAATTATTCAAGGTCACATGACGTGTTTGAAATAAACATGATATGTCTGGACTAGTACTCAAACCATCAGAGAAATTGCTGACGACAAAAACTGTCAATTACAATACTTGAATATATGAAACACACATCAAGTTCAATTACGATGTCAATTGAGACTAATAGCCAATTACTGCAATCTGTCAAATCTAATAATAGTCTTGAACTCTGACCTTAATCACCCAATTTTCCATTTCAATGCCTTCTCTTATTGAGAATATTATTACCTGGTATTGAGCAGATCCACATAGGAAAGACAATCAATTTCTAGTGCTCAAGTCAAGATTGGAAATCACATTTGTTTTAAATTTATCCTTTTTTTCTTTGATTAAAAATGCCGCAGGGAAGAGATCAAAATACACCTCCACAGAATACAGTCAGCGCAATCAGGAATGGTTCACAGATCAATAACGTACTCAAAGAAATCATCATTCACGACCCAACAACAAAATTTGTAAATGCAGGGAAAAAAAAGAGGGGTGATGGGTAACTCAGCGATCAGCTGCAAAGTAACGTTAATGATATAATCATTTTATTTTAAATTTTGCATTCTAAAAATTACATTCAACAACAAAATACAATATTCCATAGTTGTAAACAATTTCTTTATGTATACAAGGTTGAAAACAAAATTATATAGAGTGAACACAACTATTACAACAACATCAATACAACTACGGAAGCTCAGAAAACCTAAAAGAGGAGATAACACGTTCATTATCAGATTGGATCAATGTCTTGATTAAAACTTTGTTAACGTGAGCCAATACAAGCTACTCTTGCAGCCGTGAATACACAACACTCTTGAGGTGTCATGTTGGATTGTGAAATCGGGTGGACTGATGAAGATGTTTATTTTTTTTTTTTCGATGATATTTCAAAGAGATACATCGATCTTTCATAGAATGGAGAATTGTCAGTCTTTGATTTTTGTTTTCTTTGTATGTAGTTTCTCATGTCAGATAAGGTCTCTTGGTAATAAAATCGTAGTCTCGGGGCGAGGCTTCTACTTTTACTTTTAATGTATCACAGTCATGCATTTATTATTGCCCAGAAAAAGTTATTAGTTTTATTTATAGATTTGAGAAATAAATACTGAGTATTTAGTTGATAAATGGGTGGCATCGAGGCATACATTAATTGAAACATATATACCCCTATTCTCAAGAGCAAACATTTTCATAGATTGTGGTTACTACGGTAACTGTCAAAAACACTCAAAAAAACGGTACTTTGGGCTAGTTGTTGAGACTCTCCTGAACAATGTAACAAGATTACCCATACATGTGCAATATATATAAATTTTGGTTGCTCAGGATTGTTTCAAAGTTGTGCTGTTTTTTTTTACTTTAGCTGTTTTTTTGACTGGCGTTCCACAGTTGATCACACAGAGCCTATAAAAATACATGCTCAGTTGTGCGCAATGTAGAACGTTATGTGACGTAGCTCCATCCCCGAGAATAGATGACTGCCGAATTTTTGTTTTCCCTTCAAATTAGTGTAATGATAAGTGCAGTACCATATTTGCTCTATTTAGAAGTGCATCTTCATAAATAAACCAAATTTTGTATTCTCTGTGTTATTAAAATATGATTTATTTTGACCACAAACACACCTCTGCCATATGTAAGGGCATATGCTACAAATAAAACAAATACAGTACATATATGTACTGATACACCTTTTCAGAGACAGTATTAACATTTTTTAGCTTAGGGCTCGGAGGATTGCACACATGAAATGCCATACAAACCCATCTGATATTTTATGCATATACATGCCCCTTGTATATTATACAATTATCAATAGAAACACACTGTTTGATACAAATCCTTGTTCGTAAAACAAAAACATTAATTTCGCAAAGCACAAAGGCACTCAGTGTTGAGCATTATGCACAATGTATTTGAATTGTATTATGAGAAAGAAAGCAAATGTTACGCCATTAACAAGAGATCGGGACAACAGTTATATATATTAGATGTACAATCTCACAGTTCAGTAAACAGACTGCTAGGGTAATCACAGCTAATGGAAGCTCAACAGAGCATAAAATGGAAAGCTTTAGGATTTTTCTAGTCTGATAACTACACTAATAGATTTACCAGCATTACAGGATTAAGTTTGCTTCTTCTTTTTATAAATCAATTTATTGCTTACCCTATCAATATTTCGATTTTTTTTTAGCGAAAAAAAATTATTTCACAATTTTTGATTATCAGTATATTGGTACATTGTTAACCATTGTGTCATACCAATATTCATAATAATATTAATAATAATAATAATAATAATAATAATAATAATAATAATAATAATAATAATACTAATAATAATAATAATAATAATTTGGGAGTATTATATGTGAGAACAAATCTTGTTGTAATGTCATGTATTTTGAGTAAATGTTCGTCATCTTCTATTTTATCCATAAAATTTCTAAATATTCAAGTTTATGTCACTCCTCAATTGTGTTAATGTAATAGTGATCTTATAAATCAACCAAATAATGAATCATCCATAAATTGTCAAATTAAATGCAATATTGCTTGAATGATTTAAAAAAATCTTCTGTCAACATGATGAATAAAGTAATTAAAAACAATTATCAGTACCATTATAATTCAGTACAAAGTTGACACATGCATGTAGGACCACACAGACATATAAACTTTGTCAAGCAGGTTAATCTGAAAGCTACGTACTATGTACTACCTCATTAAAATGCAAAGCAGATACAGTAGATAAATCAACATTAAACAGGTTTAAGTGTATTCATTCGATGTTCTTCAAGTTTTTTAAAAAAACAATACAAAACAAAATGATTAAGTATTAATTTGAATCACATATATAACAATCCAGCGAAAAGTATGTTCTGCAAATGTGTAAAAGCTGAAAACAGTAATTTGCGTAGAGACTCTGTAGCGCCAAGAACCCAGACAGTTTTAGCCCCTGGCACAAACAGAAATCCTAAGAGTTTCCCAATGAAATGAAACCTGTGGAAAAGACGTTCACAATCAGCAAAGGTGACTGCAGATCATATTTATGAGAGATCTCACTGAGAATTTGATGTCGTTGGCGACAGAGTGTCGCAGGAGTCTAATATGTAGCTTCACTAGAACGGCATGATATTGAAAAAAAAAATTGACTAAACAGCGTAAGCTCTTTTAATACTGATGCCAGAAATTAAATTGCTTCTTGATGAAAGATTATATCTTTCGATAGGCAGTGGCAAAAAGTTTTCTGCAGGCATCATGATCAGATGAAAATACAATAAGGTTGATCAATACAGTTTGATTTTCAAATTTTCATTGGAATAAAAATGCCAAGTTCTGAACATCGCTATTTATTTAAATCATGTAATATCTATAAGAATGAATGGTTCAAGACTCTTTTCCACAAATATGAATACAGAAATTAACATGACTGTTTCAGGAATACACAGAAAAAAAAGTTAATTTCATTCACATTTTGTTGTGAAGAACAAGGATGTGTTTGACTTAAACAAACATGAGTTCTCTCACTATCACCCATGGAGCATATGATAAATTCCAAATATAATATTTACAAAAAAAATGACCCGACTTTTTTTGTTTAAATTTAGTTCCCGACACATTATTGTTTTATTATTAAGTTAAAAAAAAATAAGAACATTTCCTAATTGAATAGTCTGAGTTTTACTTTTTCCCTCATATTTCCATATAATACATAACCAGCAATTAAGTAATAACACATTTATCTCACTATGTACTATATACCCTATAAAGTAGAGATGAGATTTACAAGTATACAAGTCAACACTGTGTCCAACACTGGAAATAAACACAGGTTAAATTTATTTTAACATCAATGATATTTTTTTTCTAGTTCTGAAAATACATATATGGGGGCATGTAGGATATACTCAAAGCTATATACATTTACTTTTGTTAGTGAACCTGTACATGGGAAATAAACAGTTTATTTCATGGAGGGAATGTACTTCCAAACAGGAGAGACTTTACCTCCAGGGAAACAATGCCCTCCTTTTAATTATTTTTCAATACTGAAACTATGGAAGACAGGAAGTTATGGTTTTGATTCCCAGATTTGACTGCTCACTTATCAGCATAAATTCAAGTACAGTCTGCCCTGCCTACCAAACACATATGCAATTAGCATCTCAGACAAAAAAATCAGAAGAGACAGCAACGTCCAGAAATGTCGTCTGGCACAAAAATACTAAAAATAAAATAAAAACTACCGTACTGACAGTGTTACCTGGACAACACAAACATTGTATAAATGTGATCAGCATTTCCATTTACAAAATTGTTTGCATAAATCAGCATAAATTTTCAAATGTTGGTGATAACTAGGCAGGCATGGAGATTCTAAATCTAGTTATTAAAATGTTTAATAACATTAAGTATTGTGATTGAAAAAACATGTCCATCAGCTTAAGTTAAATATGTGATACTCAAAAATATGAGCTTACTAAAAAAATTGACTGAGTGACATACAGTGGTCGTCAGGCTGGGCATGTTTGAATATTGAAGAACGACAGTCACATGATTAAGATTCAGTAAGAACAGCTGTTAATAAGACCATTTTAATTTGTAATCTCATATGGATTAGTATAAAAATGATGCTAAACTATGAATCTTAATTTAATGCTTTCAATGGATGAAAAAATATTAAATTTTGCAGGATTTATAGTTGATTCCGTAAATATCTAAGAACTGCATCTTTATTACCAATTTATGCTGTTTTAATAAATATTTTTTTTTTCAGTTCATTACATATTTTTATTGAAAAACATGTTGAAAACCTTTACCTCAAGATGAATATCATAAAGAATCATATTATCACAAATTCACAAAATAGTCCTGTTTATAGTCT